ATGATGAAGACACGTCATATGACCAATCTACTCGTGCAGGAAGGCAGGTGGAGGCAGGACCAATCTTGGACAGAGTGGTAAGTCAATTGCCTTATTTTTTATGTTAAGTTGCATACTAATACATTATGCATTAGAGGTATCTATTTTAGTTAGTGTCACCTTCGAGCCGTAGCATCCTTATAATATGTTAGATTGGTGTACAAAAGAAAACAAAACCTATTGCTATCTGTTCAGAAGTATTATCACTGAGAACTTTGTTGTAGGGCAATACCCTCAAATGCTCCATTGAAGACATTGAGCGCTTTCATCCAAGAGTCAGGGACAACGACACGCGTAGCTTCCTAGACGTAAGATTCAAAATATTCTTTCAAACATATTATTAATACGTTAGATTCTTTTAGTTAACATAATTTTGTACAACAGAGGCTGTCATGTCGGTTACGCCATGCGGCTGCTCGTTGTGGTTGCAGGACAGACACGTCGCAAGACGTGTACGCTCCTTCCGCAGTAGAGGAGACTTAGGTTCCTCTAGCCAAGCACCTATAGAGGACGAGGAGGACAACGACGACGTGGACCAAAGGCACGAGGAGCTTGGCCCCTCTCAGCTCTAGGATGCTCCCTCGACTCAGCCTACATAGCCTCCAGGCACTAGACGACACCGTCCACCTGACCCTTACACTCCAGGTACCAGCGCTCTTAGTCATAAGGGTAAGGGTAAGACTAGGAGACAGTGAGGGTTTGTGGTAGATGTTAGTATGTACTATTATGGATTTTGTAGTCACTTTCTATAACTATTTGGGACTGTATGGACATTGTGGACTATTTGGACTATGCAGGACATGATATGTTGATTGTGATGTTCGATGTGGTTGTATTGTGCTCTTTGAAAGATTAAATGTTTGAATTATATAATGATGTCTCTGTTTGTAACTGTGGATGCTCCTGAAACAAGGGAAACTCTTGCGTTTTTTTTCGTGAATCATTAATTATACTACACTGCTAAAAAATAACAAATGTAGTACACAGATTAAATGTAAATTCATTAGAACGTGTATAGTCCAACCGTATCATACAAATGCTTTGTAGATAAATCTAGGCTTTTCAGTAATAGTGAATGAATCTAGGCTTTTCAGACAATGCAAGGAAGCACAACTCCACTCCATCTCCACCATCCATCTTATGATTGTTTGATCCAAGGGATAAGGTGAAGAGGCACATGGATCGCTGACATGGCACATTGAGAGGCCTCCATTCCTCCTCTCAACCTATAAATAACCCCTCACTCCCTCTCATTCACACACACAACAAGGAAAAAGAGCACTCCTCAGTATTTTCTTTTATTATAGTACCAATGTATGGAGGGTCATCCAGAGGGAGAGAAAAGGGGAAGGGAACTACCATTATGTGGAAGGGTTCTCTTGTTCCCGATTTCTTTGAGGAAGCTCTTTATGAGAGGTTCCTAGTAGAGAGCAAAAGTGATTTCACCAAAGAGGCACCACTGAGAGGATACGATGAACGGAAAGAAGAGTGACCAAAATGCATGCATGGTGAGGACTGCCTAGTGCAGATGTTCACCGAGGAAATAGATGGAGGTCGTCGTTTCTTTAAATGGCCACGAGCATGGGTAATTGCTATTACTATTTGTTTCTTCAATATGTTCCTCTTCTATACAACTTTATATGACATGATTATTGCAGTCTTCCTTGACCAAAGAAAACTATGGGTTCACTCGGTGGGTCGATCCTCGACCTATTTATCCTCATGCGGAGTACATCTACTACCTGCAGGATCATATCTTTGATCTAGAAAGGGAAGTTAGCAGTGGTTACAAGGACAAAGGACAGGATGACAACAACAATGGTGCTGATTCACATGAGGCACTCTGCAATGATCCATATTGTACCTACCCTAACCACAAGAATAAGGGACCTCCGCCGTCACCCCCGCCACCACCAACAACAACAATGGGTGGCTACTGTGGAGAATGTGCAACACAATTTGCTATGTGGCCACACTACTAGGACGACTCTATCTTATTCACATGGCACATCCATGTGTTTGTTGTTTGGTTTAATTACCTAAGGCATGTTAGGTTTAGTCGAATGAACTCTGTACCCTAGTTCGGTACATGTTCTCACATGTCATTTCATGTGTTTTGTATGTTGAATTATATAATGCCCTACTTCGTTAGGTTGTGTTTGCAGCATGTGATCACATTTCACCACGTCCGCAACATTATACTGAATATTATGACTACAAATAATGAAAACAACCACATAATGAAAAGTCCAATACTATGCCACATTAAAAAACACAATAATACTAGAAGTACGTGCCGACATAGTAGATAACATTGTTCGTGAATAAACCATAGAACTAGCAAGTCATGGAGACTACCGAGTGCAATGATGCCACTTTTCCTTCCTCGGGGCATCGAGATTCTCCTCCATCGCTGCTTTCGCTCGCCGTGCACGCTCAAGCTTCTTCTCCCTCTCCTCCCTGTATGCATCAACACGCCTCCTTTCCTCCTCTCCCTTGTGCTCCTTTTTTAGCAGCCTCCTCTCCGCGTCTCTTCTCCATCATCTCCTTATCCTCTGCCTCCCACCGTAACAGTTTCTGCATCCATTCCTTGTCTTTAGGCTTGATCTCAGTGTCGATCCACTGCTCAAAATCATAGAGCGGTGGAGGGGTCTGTAAAAAATACAATTGTTACAAAACAAAAAAAAACATGCAAGATGTCATATGACACAAACATCAATTCCTCACCATCTTGTTAATGTGGCGCTGACAAAGTGTAGGCTCAAACGTAAAATTGGAACACATCCAATACCTCTGCCTATATGTATCCTCTTCGTCGGACTTGGCTACCTTGCAAGGATCGCCGCAAAAGCACATGAGTACTGGAACACCACTAGGCAGAGGCAATGGGTCGAAGGTATTTCTGGTCATCCGGCCATAACTACAATACAACCAATTTCGTTCTAAGAATCGAAAGCAATTAACATTAAACCCTAAACCCAGAGTTTTCCATTTGATGCACAACAATGAACCCATAACATAACAACATGCGCTACGGTTACCTTGGTTTGCTAGCTTTTCCACGCCTTGACATCATACGGTTGTATAATACAAATATTAAAAATTACATGAAACCCTAAGTAATGATGATTCTTAGGTTGAAAAATCTAACTAATATATACCGAATCGATGCGAAAAAAATTAGGAGGAGAGCGAGGATACCTTGCTCTTGAAGATCTACGGATCAAATCAAAGTTTTCAAGATCCAATATGCCGATTCATGACGTAGGGCGAAGTGGGGAGAGAAAAAACCCAGAGAGAGGAGAAAGAAGGGGAAGAAGGCTCGGGCAGGAAGGTTGGGAGGCGGGGTTAAAACACCACCTCGGCGCCATAGATCCTGGCACCAAGCTCGGCGTCAAGATCTACGGCGCCAAGCTCGGCGCCAGGATCTACGGCGCCAAGCTGCCTGTCAAGTCACCGCCACGTCTGCGTTGAGCCTAAGACCTCGGCGCCAGCAATGATGGTCCCGAGCTATGGGTCCAGATTTTAAAATCTTACCTCCAGAGACATATTTATGATTTTTTTTAAAAAAAGACTAAAAATAAAAAATTCGGGCTATTATACTCTGTTGCTGGCTGCCTTTGCTGCTGCTCAGCTGCTGGCAGTGTCGTCCAAGTTCCATCCGGCCCAAGGGGATGAGGATCCATTATGCCTTGTGCTGCAGGAGGCCGGCGTATTCCTGTGGACCGTCAAGGCGTCAACTAACACCAATCCTCATGCATCATTATGCCTTGAGACAATTTCTGTGTTTGCAATTGCAACCTACTTTAAAATGATAGTACCAACGTTTTGTCAATCGTACATTCCAGATACTAGTAGATGGTAGATGGTAGGGCGTGAACCTACGCCAGCACAGGCCCAAAAGTCAAACCCTTCGACAGCTCGGGCTTCTGCCACAGACCGATTGAGTTTGCCGCATGACTTTCAGACACACAGCAAAATCAATTGACTTGCCAACATAAGGCGTGGACGCGTGGTAGCACTGGCACTAGCACTAGTAGTGTACAGTAGTTGCTTTCAGGTATCCGTCACTCTGCTTTGATCGACGTGTCGTCCTCTGTGCCGAGACGCAGACGCAGACGCTTTCCAGTTCAGGCGCTGCATACCCCGCTAGGCTTTCGCCGTCCTACCTCCTCCAGCCCATGTCCGGCTCCGGCGACACGGCCCCTGAAAACCTGGCGGCACGGCAGCCTGCAGGCCGCAGCCTTGAGGAAATCTCAAACAATACAGGGGGAGCAGGGGCAGGGGGGACTGCATCGCAAGGCATGCCTGAAAAGGGGGACGCAGGCCATTGGAGCATGCTTCTGCATCGTTTCTTGGTCCCTAGTAGACTCCAGTCTGTACCGCCCACATGTGTGCATATCCAAGCCTGGAGTACTACAATGATCGTATAGAAATAGAATCCATGCCCATGAATTATCATTTCAGGAATCAACTGGAGCACAGTACAATGATCGAGTGTGTGCTGGCAACGTATATTAAACCGTCTTTCTTTTCTTCAAAACGTATATTACTGTGTACAAAGTCGAGCAACTTCTGTAAGTTTGATGTTTGAGCAAATTTTAGCACAAGATACACCTGTGCTTCCTATACATCTGATCTCCTTAGGGCCTCTTTGGCACGGCTTATGCCAGATTCAGTTTCATCTATTTTGCGTAAATCGAAACACTGTAGCGTGAAACCGTTTTGTAAGCTGGAGTTAAAATGAACTGGAAGCCGGGAAAAGCCAGTTTTTCTAGCTTCACGGCTTTAGCTTCACCGGTGAAGCCGTTTTGGATGAACCGTGCCAAAGGGAGCTTTACAAGCTGTACTGCTCACTGGTACTGTATGGTATATGCACAGGTATAGAGTTCTACGTTCAATCAGGTCTTCACCTTCCCAAAAATAAATATATGTTCAGTGGGGTGCATTTGCAGATCCAACTAGTACCGCGTCCTTGGAGGACCAGATGATGTCCTAACGATTTCGGAACCAAGCTCATGTATCTTGTGCAACAGCATCGCCTTCTCCCGCTCCAGGGTTTCTATGTACTCTTCCTGCTCGCCCTGGATGCCTTCCATCTCCGTCACGGCTAGTGACAGGGCCTCCGGGTCACCGCCCTCGTCGATCAAGCCTGTGAATTTCTTCAGGCTGTCTCTCATCTGCGAAGAAGTCACAGAACGTTCGTTGCACCATCAGAAATGAATGTCAAACAGAAGTTCTGAAGGGTGCGGCGCAGGTGAACAGATTCAGATGTTCCGCACCTGTGTCGATATCTTGTGCCCCTTGCCAGATGGATCTGTCCCGAGCATGTTTTTCTTCTCGGAGTCTGGAACTGATACCCTTCGCGCGATCTTTACATGGATTTCTCCGCTTTTTACCCCTTGGAGAGGTATCCATTTTTCAGCAGATTGGTTTGGCGACAGCATGCTGTATTCGACGGTGCAATTGCCGATACTAGCGGTTGGAAGGACGGCGTTGTGGTCCTTCACATGCAAAATCAGGGGTTCTCCAGTTTCTGGGAACTCGAATGTCTGGTTCCACTGGGGAGAGAGTGTTTTGTAAATGACCTGCACAGAAAGAATAAGACAGCTTCAACAAACTGTGACTTCTCCATACATAGCATCAATGAGAAATATGCTGCCAGGAGGCCACAATTCTTTCTGAACTCAGATGTGAGAAACTGCACACATGCACATAAAAGAGGAAAGGCACAGCTGCTACTGTACACTACAAAGTAACAAGGCTCCCCGCATTACTAAGGAAGCACTTCCATGTACCTATGAAGAACAGGCTGCTACGAGCTACTAATCTGAAGTACGCAACAGTAATACCAAACACTACAGCTCCAGCATAGTTTCGCAAATTTTTGCTTAGAAAATCAGTATGGCTAGCACGTCCTATTTGGCAGAGATTTTGTGCAGACATGATAAGTAGAGTCACTAAAGTTCATCATCTAACCTTGGTTCGTTTCTTCTTGTTCCCATATTGCACCCTGACATAAGGATCACTAGTGCCTCTTAGATCGGCAGCAACAAGATCTCTGGCTTCAATTACGACTAGCTCAATCCAACCAGCTCCAGCTTTACTGCTTGAGCTCTGGAAAAAGGGAGGACAAATAATATTTCAGAAGCAGAGAACCAATGTTTGCAACAAAGTGCTCCTAATGAAATGTTGTGAAATTATCAATGAACTAGTTCTGCTGCAAGCTTCAAATATTTAAATGTTTAGTGTTCACCATCTTAAAGATTCCAGGAGCTCTAACAATCTATCCAGGCTTAAGAGAAAAGGAGGAGAGCACATATATACCTGCATGCTATTGTTGTGATCATTCTTTATTGGCTCTATTTCAAGCCTGATCTCTCCTGAATCTACTTTTTCAAGTGGGACCCAAACATCACGGCTAGCACCATCTAAAAGCCCCTCCAAATTAACTCTTGCACTACCAATGCTTTCATCACCGAACATATCTGCATTATAGCATTTGATCTTCAGACATTCACCACCAGAGATCTCATCAAACTCAAACTTGTCATTCCAAACTGGTCGGACCGTATGTGACAGTGTTTTTGTTCGGTATAGAGCCTAATAGAAGAATAAAATATTAGCATTTGAAATTGTCTTAACTGGATAGTTGGAAGAACTAAACTTCAGCAAGGGAACAACTAACCTTTCCATATTGGAGTTTCACATAAGGGTCACATTTTCCAGATTTACTATTAGCTGTAAGGGCCCTGCCCTCAACAACTCTGACCCTAAGTCTCCTTCCTGTTGTGGACTGAAGCTTTGTCGATCCATCAAATGAGCATTGAAGTCCATTGCCCAGAGAATTACTCAATGTAACCGACCCATCAGAGAACTGCCATTCTTTTAACACAAGGCTTACAGTTAACTGCGAAAAAAACATTAAGGACAGGTTCATATCATCATTCATACTCCATAGAAAAAATAAGCTAGAACAGAAAGGGGGGGTGATAAGGCAAGAAATGTCATACTTTCTTCTCTTATAGTTATCCAGTTTGTAGTTGAACAAGTAAGAATCCATAGGTCTAATTGATAATTGGTATGCCAGTTTGATTTTACTTGTTACAATCAGCATTTTATCCCTCAAAATAGCACATGCCAAAAATGTCTAATTAAATGGCTCATGTTACCAACATAAATGATTTCGGACATTAACTCAATGCAGATGATTTATAAAATGAAGATGCCATGTAACAACTTAAGCAGACAAATTGGGATGCAACTTTTTTGGAAATTTCTGAATGTCACTGATCTAGAAGGTGAAACTACGATCACTACTAATATCAATAGTCTGGGATAAGAAGAATGAATAATGGTGTTATATAATATAGCATTGCCCTGTATCATCAAAATGACAAGTGATTATTTAGCATTTTCTAAGAAATTATTGATGTTCCATTGAATGAACTATTGTTACTTCCACGGGTTCATTGAACATGGATGGACATCTCTCTAGCGCTTTATCTTTGTTTCTCACTTACAAAAGTGTTAGTAAAATAAAAAATCAGCAAAACTTCCTTTTTTCTATAACATATCATATATTCCAAGCATAAAGACTGACAGAGTGTCAGTTTAATAGAGAAGTAAGAGAGTGGAAGTTTACAGCTATGTAAGTTACAAAGGTCCTAGTCTGTGTTAATTCACAACATTAGTTGATGATGATCTCCTAGAAACACGTGGCACAATGGAAGACCAGACACGTACAGTGATGACTTGAGAAAACTAGCAAGCAGATGGTATTAAACTTCTATCAATTGGCCATTCATGGCTTACAATCTTATATCGGGTTCAAAAACTAAAGTAGCAATGTAAATGAAATGTACCTCGCCATTGATATCCTCAAACGGAACAACCATTCCAACTTCTTGACCGCAATGCTCAGTATGCTTTGCGACGACACCAGAGTTATGCCCTATAGCCCAAAATATTGTTGAACCATCAAGAACATACTTGACCTGTTTACATTACTTTTACTTCAGTGTACTTGGATATGTGGGAAGAACCACAATTGTCACAAGAATAGGGGAAAGTTGACTCAAATAGAAATAGCTTTATATCTAGAATACCTTTATCTCACAGCTTGTCAAGTAATTGAATTTGACACCACCAGAATCCAATTCATACAGAAGAAACTTGACAATGCCTGTCTCTCCATGCAGTACCATGTTAAATGTACTGTTCCACGTAGGATTTAGACCCTTACTGGTACTTGTTTTTCTCATCAAATTGCCAACTTCTACCTCAACAAATGTCTGTGATACCTTGTTATCAGCAATTCCATACATGGCCCCTCCATTTGAGCTTTGGCGGCTCGCTATATCCTTAGCTGTGCTCTTACAGAGGTTACTAGCTGAAACAACAGTAACTGAGAGAACACCTCCAACTGCTCGTTTCCTTAGATCTACTGATGGCAAAGAAAAACATAGCCGGCGAGGTTCAACCATTGTTTTCCCTATGGTTTCGGTCAAAAGCTTCACCTGCACGGTTCATAAAATACACACTATATATCATTAGATAGTTAGATGTAGCATACAAGCTATGCAATGTCTGCCATCACATGAAGAGAATACAAGATATCAGCGATTTTTTTAAAGAATTACAATTTGAACTATGATATTTTCGCCCTAAATGGTCAGCATAAACCCACCAGCCATGTCGAGACACCTGGTAACTCCATACCAGGAATTGCTTGGCTTCCACCACTTCCAAATGCTACCCCAATCCTGACTTCTGGGGTTGATTCAAAAGAATAGAGTATAGCTTCCCCATCAAGTATGGGTGATAGTAGAAGCTGCAATAATATAACTGAATCAGAGATAGTGTTGAAACTCAATCTGGCACACACAAATCATGAGTGGCTGATGCAATAATCTGCTTTCGGAATTAAGAAAAAGTAGTTTGCAGAATTACAAAAAACAATACTACATAATAAGTTAAGTAACAAGACAATGGAGAGAGGAAAAAGCATACATCCCCCTTGATGTGAATGCTGTTTATAACAATTCGACAAGTCCCAATCAGTGGCTTTGCTAATTTCGCCAAAAACATTACACTCATCTCGTGGCTATTCCAATCAAATCCCAAGCGCATGACTTGCTGTGAGAGAGAAAAAAAAAGTAGTTCATATCAGACTATCAGAGAACATGTGGCTACTAAGCTGCATATACCACCATAAAAGTATGTGGAATATTAAACTACTAAAGCTAGGGGGGTGGAGCAATTTGTTTGTATGTACAAACATTAAAAAAGCTGAGATCAGAATTGACGAAGACGACATCAACAAAGCGTAAAGCATCCAATGATTTACCTTTTTCACTTAATTCTTTTTCAATGCATCAATGATGTAGGATTAAGTCTGATTAATTAAATAGACAACAAGTATTGACAATAAGCTAAATAACTGTCAATATAACTGCCTAATAACTGTATATCACTCTTAAGGAGATTATGGGCAAGTGAAACTTTCAGATGCACCTGGAGTTCAGAATAGATATGACTAACCCGGTCACCAGAAGTAATCCAACGCATGCCCTGATCTCCCAAGGTAGGTGGACAAGAGCCAAGTGAGAAATCCTGTAATTCTATTTTATCCTGGATAAGAAAACAAAACCTTAGTACTGAAATTAGATGATAAACACATAAAAAGAAAAAAAATAGAAAAAAAAACTTACTATTAATTTTGGTTTTCGATTCTTTAAACGTCTCTGCAAAATCATAGAGCTATGTCAGCTGTGTATGGACAATGCATGATAGCATCTACATATGTTCCAATACATATTTATAATACATCAAATCAAAGAATATGCTAGTGAGTATTTTTATCTGGGACCCACTTCCATCCAAGAATCAAATGCACCAACTCTCTAGCACAACCTACTCAGAAGCTTGTCTGTCCTCTAATGATAACATTAATTAGCTTATATACTGAAATGGAGTAAAAAGTTTCAAGGACATCTAAAGTACAATTGCCAGATTATATCCACAACAACAACAACAACAACAACAACAACAACAACAACAACAACAAAGCCTTTAAGTCCCAAGCAAGTTGGGGTAGGCTAGAGTTGAAACCCAACATGAGCCCCTAGTCCTAGATTATATCCCCCAAGTGCAAAATTACTAAAGGTCAGTTTGTGGTTAATGTCACTGTGCTTTTTCTTTGAAGCTGTTGATGAGAAACTGTTGTTAAAAAACTCCAGTTTATTTGGAAAATTAGACCTAGTTTAGACAAAAGCCTGCTACCCAACCGTTGTTTCTCCCACAATTATTGGTCATTCAAAATGCATTGTAACTTTTTACATCTTAAATTGAAAAAAAGGAAAGCAGTTAACCAGACACTAAATTTCTAAAAGCAATTCTACCAACAAGATTACTAGTATTAGTATCCACTGTCAAGCAGACCCTAAGTATAACTGACATCTTTCATGAATCAAGAATAGTGGTGAATTGATCCTAGCAACCTAGTGCCTTGTGCGCAAGAGCTACAGAAAATAACTTTCTCAGAAAAGAGCTATAAGGAACAAATATTAAGCAAGATTACAAAAGCAAACCTCGACAGTAGACTGAAACCTCTTCGATAGTTTTGGTTCCATGTAATTAGGCCAAACTTCTAACAAAAGTTTGTTCAACCATTCGCAAGGCTCGATTGGTGTGGTGGGCTACAGAAGATATAAAAGTAGTATGACTCAGAATCTATCTATAAAATATGTTCCGATAAAAATAGGAGCAAAAGAGCATACTATTGTATTCAGTATAAGATGCTTCCATCTTTTGTTCAAATCTTCTACAGTTGTCCTCCTCTTAAACCTCCCATACTGCGATTAATCATAAAGCAAGGTAAGAAGACCAAAAAAAACTATAATAACAGGGGCAGAAACAATTCCTAATAAAGCAATGAGGCAGGTGCAGAAGCATAGTGCTGTTTGACATTAATCTTTCCCTGGAACCTTGAGCACTTTTCACAACCCAAAGGCCAGATCAGGACACCATTATCAAGAAAAGGGCAATTGTCGTGCTGTTACAAATCATCATCTCAAGTGCCCCTTTCATGTACTGTGCTTCTACTGTTCTACCAATTCAGCATGGTATCAAAGAGACTGAGCAAAATCCATCACAATCCCTGAACAAATTTAGATGAAATAACATGGCAGAAACACATACCTGAATGGTTGCCCAAACAGCAGCAGCGAGGGGAACCCAGTTTGAGAATGGCACAACCCACCGTTCGACGAACCATGCAAAGAGGCCGAGCGGGATCAGGAAGGGCAGCAAGGGTTGCTCCACCATGACCTGGTTAAAGAACTCCCGAGCATCCCTGCCATACAGTTTCTTCAGCTTCTTCTTCACCATGGCTCCTCCCTTGTATCTTTAGCTTCAGCAACAATCTCCTTTCTGACCTCTCTTATAGGACACACCTTAACCTTGGTGGAGATAACTTTCCAGCTTTATGCCTTTGTTCCCACTTGATCCTCAACTCCTTTCACCGGTAGGCCACTCCATCTCCCGCTTTGCGCTGTAGTAATGGGTACCTGTCCACCAACAAGTCAGGCCGAATTAATACCCACGAGAAGAGCGACACACTAATTGCCCCCACACTAATTGAGATCTTTCACATCCCAGCTTCTAGAGAGAGGACCAGGAATTTCCAATCCCATCGTGTTAGACTTTTCTAATGGCAGGCATGAACGAGAGATTGACCTTGACAATACTTTCAGCCTAGTCAGCAGGCTAATTGTATCACACAAAAGAATCCCAAATACTAGGCCCGTGTTTAGTTGCGAACCAAATTCCAAAAAAATGTTATAGTATCCATCACATCGAATCTTATAATACGTGTATGGAGTATTAAATGTAGACGAAAAAAAAACTAATTACACAGTTTGGTTGAAAATCGCGAGATGAACGTTTTGAGCCTGGTTAGTTCATAATTGAACACTAATTGCCAAATAAAAACGAAAATTCTACAATATCCAAATTTCCAAACTTCCCCCAACTGAACACGCGCTAGATTCCGAGCACGCACGCACAAACGACTCAGCGTGCGCACCGGTATCCACCGTTGATTTCGCTACGACTCCAACTCCCTCCGCTCACGCCCGCACGCCCCTGCTCTCTCTCTCTCTCTCTCTCTCTCATCCGGCGACCCCAACTCCGGTGACCCCAAGGCCGCGGAGCTCGGTGGGCGCCGGGGCGGTCGGAGGTGGTGGACCCGGGGGCGAGGGCGGCGAGCCGTATCGGGAGCCGGCTGGGGCGAGGAGGTGGCAGGGGGCGGCGCCGGTGACGGAGAAGACGCGAGGGAGGAAAAAGGTGTCGCGTGCGGGCGGGTGTGCAGGCCGAGCTGCGCTGGACTGCGCACGCTGGGGCTAGCAAAGTTTAGAATCCCAAATACTACTAGTAGATAGATCACATAAAGAAGGAAATCTAACATAACAAACGGAACCAACAAGAACAATCGAATTGACTGCCCAAAAAAGGACTTGCCCGAAACGCTTAAGTTGCAGGCAAAGATTGCTGGTCAACGATCAAAGGCAAATCGGAATTCCATGTAATAAGCAAACCAATAAGAAGCAGGCGGCTTCCGGGAAGAGAACGAACCAATTGTGGGAGGCCGGTGCTGTAGATTCTTGTAATAGCGCCCAACTCCTTTCGCAACCAGATCGCCGCAGACGCGCCTGGGGACTCGTTTGGGCGCTAAAACCCCAAGTCCCGGAACCAATCACAAGAACGGCTACCGCAGGCGGAGCCTTCTTTCGAGCCTAAATACCACTCGGCAGCACCTAGAACCCGAAGCGGTTGGCAAAGATCAAACTTTTGCAGCTTTGGAGCGGTTCCGCAATTCCAATAAAAGGTTTGGAGCGGTTCCGCGATCCAAGAACCAGGAGCAAGAAACAAGCGGAGGGTTCTACTGGTGGGATCGAGGAGGATTGGAACTTTTTTTTTTGTTTTGATGAGGGGATTGAGGATTGGAACTGGGAGGGAGGAGTCGGGTGGGTTCCGGGCAACGCCATTGTTAGAAGGCGTCAAACTTGGAACTCATCACCTGCCGCCGCCGCGCGCTCGCAGTCGCAAACGTTTGCTTGATGTCGATGTGTTTGGTTAGACGCTGTTGACACTTAAATTAGCCCATGCCAATTCTAAGAGGCCCATAGGAGGTTAAAAAAATAAAATTTAAGAGACCTATAACAATTTTGGCCCGATTCCATAAAACGGTATAATAATAGTGCAACATTTGTTTTTCAACGAGACAAGATCGTAAGACCACCCCTACTCCGTATAAAATAAGAGGTACATGGACGATTGAGAATCCAAACTCACAATCGTAAAAAAAAAACACATCAACTACCTCTCTTTACTCTTTTTTCTCATTTCTCATGTATCTCTTCTTCTCGTTCTTCATTGGTGTTGCATGACTTGTGGGATTTCGGCTCTCAGGAGACCTCGCTGACATGTCTTATGTATCACGCTCATGATATGTCCTACGTATCGCGCTCATCACTATTGGCATAAGGTCCAAGTGCAGACAAACCTTAGACGTCGGCCAACTTCGGCTAGGCCCTACATCGATCTAGCTCCTTGCTTGTAACACCATTGGTGTTACACTGTAAATCATTTGCTAAAACATGTCATGAGCATCATGTTTATGTGTTAATGCATGTAATATAGAGTGTAGATCCATTTCCGTGACTCAAAACGATCATCAGAAATGTATAACGAAAGTTAATTCCATAGTCATATTATATCACTTAGGGTTTAAAACCAATTTTTATTAAGTAAAAATGCTATAGAACATGTATGTGATACTTGAATAAAGTTTGAAGTACAAACTTTGTAGATGACGATGAAATACCTGCGGTCAAAAAATAATATCACTAGCTAACATTTCTAATAGCTTGGAAATTGAATTTGAAGCAAATCCAACCCAAGACTTTGTCGATTTCTTAAGTCTAAAAACTAGATCGACAAGGCTATGTTTGGTAATTTTTGCTGAGAAATTAGGTTATGGAGTGGTGTTGTATTATGGCTTGTTTTAGTAGCCTAATATGCCCTCTTAAGTATAGCAAAGATGGTTTGGCGATTGGATCAATGTTTTAGATTTTTCGAACGCTTTAAAAATCGTGCACAACACGTTCTCGGCCGGTTTCCTCGCGTGGGCGCGGTCACCGCGTCTCTAGGACGCAGTGTCGTCGCCTCGAAGCGTCCTGCTGCGTCAGGCGCTCTTCTTTCCTTCGATCGGCCACGCCGTGGGTGGTCGCTTTGGCCGCCGTCTTTATACCACAGTGCTTGTGGCGTCCCATTCCGTCATCGCTATTTCTTTGCTTTCTTGCTTTGTTACCGAGCGAGCGGTGCCCTAGCCGCCGTACCGCTCTGACGCGCACCCGTCCCATCCCGTTGTCTCGCGTCGCAGCGTGGCCGCTGCCGCTACCGTCGTGTCTGCCGTTACTACCTCACGTCACGACGCTGCTGCTGTCGTCGTGTCGCTCCTGTACGCGTGCTACATCGCATTGCCTTCCCTTGGCCCGGTGGGGTGCCGTCCGCACGTGGCCGTGCACGTCGCTGTCGCTTTGCCATTTAAGGCCCTGCGGCCCTGCGAGCCACGCCGGTCGGGCGCGCACGCCCGTCGTCATGCGCCGGCGTGTGGGACTCCCAGTCTCGCCGCTCGTGTCCAATAAATTAGCAAATGCTTTTCTAATTTAGTTTTGAGCTGATCTTTGGAAAATTATAGTAAATGTTGTAGGTGTCTAAAAATTATGAAATAAATTCTATTGAGTTCCTAAAAATGTTGTCTATCTGATAGTAGCGTGAGTAACCTGCTGTTACTCACAATAGGTGATTATTATTATCACTCTCATAATAAAATGGTGAAAAGAAAAATGGAGACCGGGCAAGGATGTGGTATGGGTATTGATGGGTGTAAGAGGTTGTGTCCTGCGGCCAACGGGGCATGGCCTGGTTACACTGTTTTCCCTATCTGTGTCGGTTAAGGACCAACCGTTGTATTGGGTTCTAGGTAAGTCAAAGACTTATTATCCCGAGCACATACTTGTTTATAGGAGCAGGAAAGGTTTGTTGCTCTCTTGTGGTGGGTTTCGGCTCTTTTCGGACCGACTGATTGGAGCCAGAAATGGTGGAGGTCTAAGCACCACACTAAGTCTAGGACTCATGTGTGGGGGCTTGGAGTCCAAGTTTGGACGGGGACCTGGACCCCTTGACAGGAGAGTGGTGGGTTGGTCCTGCTTGTGCCTAGGGTACAAGCAAGGCGTGTGTTTCGGGGTACCCAGCTAGGCACATTGATTCGCGAATCGTCGGGCAATCCGGTACGGCTTGTCTACAATCTAGCATCATAGTAAGAATTGGAAGATAAAAGGGGGTGAAATAGAACTGTTTGCTCAACTCTTGCTTGAAAGTAGAATAGGTACTTACATAGAATGGTTAGATAATGAACTAGTCATGACTGCTAATAATAAACATACATAAGGATTCACTATTAGTATTGCTTTCTACAAAAAGAAAACCCAGCAAACCATAAAGCTTATCATATCCCTAGGAGTCGAGAAATTATTTCCACTAGTCGGATAAGTCTTATATTTTGAAGAACTTTGGTTGTATGAAATGGACTAAGTACATTGTGTACTCGGAGGAAAATGGTTTATTTTCTCCTTGGGGTGTGCTCGATGGAATCCGCTTCGATGTAGTGCGACTTGAGGAGGAAGTTGTTGTGTGAATGATTCTTCCGGTGAGTTTACTGAGTTTCATAACTCTTTTAAAAACCTAAAATTTGACTTATATATTATCGATAGATATTTATTTTAATTCCGTTGTTTAATTTCTACACTCTAAACTTGGTACTGTAATAATATATTTTGAAGAACTTTGGTTGTATGAAATGGACTAAGTATTGTAAACTCCTTCTCATTATTGGATCCTGGAGGAAAAATGTGGATTATTCTTGTTCTCCTTGTCCCTAGTGTGCTCGATGAAATCCACGGGAGCACCAAAGGCGATGTATGGTCTTAGCGGCTTTCCGGGGTGCTTAGTGTCCGTGGAAGACGCCATTGCGCCTCCGATGAGGTGTATGATATTTGGTCGCTCATCGTGTTCCATGGAGCTATTAGCATAGGCTATCGGTGGTGGTATTAGAGCCAATAATGAGTTTACGAATGTTTCATAACTCTTTTAAAAAAGCCTAAAATTTGACTCCCCTGGGTACAAAAGTTTTGAGGAATCGCGAAAAGTAGGATAAGTGGTGGCCCATAAAATTATGTAAATAAGTATAAGCCCTAGCAATATGGTCTATCTAGGATAGCGGCACTTTTCGGTTTTATCTAATCGGTTTTCTGCAGTACACTAAC